GCAAAATAATTTTATATTTCTCAAGTATTTTTATAATTGATTTATTAAAACTATTCTCTTTGATATTTTTCTATCGCGTTTCTTCTATAGTATTAAATCTATTTTTCCTTATTACGTATTTATACAATACTTCTCGATTCTTTCTTTTCACAATAAGATTTTTTTTTTTCAAGAATTTTTATTATATTAATTGCTTAAAAATGTTTTCGATACTTTTCTATTGTATTTCTCCTACGATATTAGACCTATTTTTCTTCAATTTTAAATAATATACATATACAGAAATGATCATTGTTTATTATATGTGTTATATTTTTTCTACACGACGTTATGACGTATATGTAGGTATACTTATTTGTGTATTTGTCCCTGTCCCTGACGCTTTCTACTTGTATATATAAAGATTTAGTGTCTCTTATTAGTGTGTCTGTGTGTGGTGAATATACCTAATATTCGAATAAATAAATAAAAAATGAATAAAAATATTCATTCGAATACACTTATTTATTATTCGTCAAGAAATAAATAAATACTTTTTCATTCCATTTAAATGAATATTTTTTGAATATGATTACAAATATTTTCGTTTTGTATTCACTTTTACTCTGTATTATCCGCACAAAGCTTGCAAGCCTGCAAGAAAAAACAAATCTATAAAATCAATGGCTACGATTACACCGTGTGCTTAATTCACAATCTATCCGATCCTGTACAAAATGCGTATACCTATAGGTTAAACAAAAAGACATTTTTATTGGGAATAAATAATATATCTCGGAATTTAATGGCCACAGACCATAATGAAGGACCTGCCCAAGATATCTTATAAAATGTTTATAACATTACTGTGATGTAACAGGAATTATATTGGAATATGTATGGCGCTCTATCAAATAGATATTTATAAATAAAAAATGTATTGCTTTCCAAAATATTTTTCAAAATTTCTAAGTTTCCTTCATAAAATCTGAATATTACAATGACAAAAAAAATAAATAAAATTAATTTTTTTTTACTTAAAGTCATCACAGTGCCGGTTATAGTTAAGGGGTAACGATTGCTTATTAGAGCTTTCTTTTTCAGTTTACATTTTGTTTGAATGAATATGAATACTCGTTAAATATTCATAGTTTTTTTGTGAATAAATATTTTTTTTTAACCCAAAATTTGAATGAATATATGATTACATTTTTTTATGTGAAAATTTTGAATAAATATAATTTGAAGCTCAATTACAAATTTTTATATTCATCAGGTACACTATCTCTTATACATTCGAACGAATCACATATGTTATATAAAATGTTTGACGTAATTTCAATTTCACATTTTTATGAAGTTTCCGTTTCTTTGTAAAACGCTCTTCTCTCTTACGTGGTAAGTCATATTAGTCAGTTTACATTTATATTAATTGGATATATACTTACAGTCCCAGATTTCTCAATTCACAATTACACACGTTGCAGAATTTAATCAAATTCATAATTTTACGGAATTATGATACCTTGAATCTGTAAATCTTTACTGGCTGTACATATTGGAAAAAGAGAAGTTTCTGTTATTAATATTATATATTATATAATATATAAATTCTTATTCGCTGAAGAAGGCTCTAAACCGAGTCGAAATGTACGAATCTTATGTATATAAAGAACATACATAAAAATAGTAAGATTAAGCTTTAATTACTGCAATTACACTCATTTGCCTGAAGATTTGTGTTTTTTTATTTCGAGAGTTTCTACGAAGTTTTACTTCTGTTTATTATTAATATACTTCTGTTTATTATTAATATATTTTTATTACTTTACTCATTGTTGTGTAATAAAATGAAAAATAATCAAAATATTTAAAAGTTCTGTCAAAAATATTTTTACAAGATATAAAAAGCATTAAAGAAAAACTTTTTGTTTAAAATATTATAGCTTACATTTAATTATTTTTTTTTATTACTAATCCAAGTGATTTAGCTATTTTAGTCGCTTTTTTACTTTTCCACTCATCTTCTAAAAATAGTCTACAATTCAGTTTTGGAAAAAAGACGGTAATACACGGAGAGAATTTTTTCTTAGAATTTACCTTGAAAACATGACAGTCGTGGGACAACATTGTATTTTGAAGAATTTTAACATAAATCCCTCTCATTCATTAATAAAACTACAATAAAGTTTAAAATAAGTTTGATCAATTTTACTGAAGTGCATGGTAAAAATCTTCGAAATACAATGTTGTCCCACGACTGTCATATTTTCAGGGTAAATTTTAAAAGAAAATTCTCTCCGTGTAGATTTTCTTAAAATTATACAATGTTATGTTAATCACTAAATATTTGTCTTCAAAGTTATTATGGCTTATGACATTCGGTTCAATGTTTACACTTGCAATAAGATTTTTAATATTTCTTAAATATTTTCATTATGTTAATTGCTTTTTTAATTATATCTTTTTCGAGATTTTTCTATCACATTTCCTCCACAATATTAAATCTGCTTTTTCTAATCACATATAATATCCATGAGATGTCTCTCGATTCTTTTATTTGATTTTGATACAATTTCATATTTTTTTATTACTCAAGTATATTTCTGTTATATTAATTGTTTTTCTAAAGAATAAATCCTCTTTCATACATTTTTATCGTAGTTCTCTAACAATATTATATATACTTACATTTTCTCATCAGCACGTAATATTCACAATAGCTCTCGAATTTTTTATTTAATTTCGTTATAACTTGATATTCCGTTTGATTTTTACACTCACAAATTGATTTTTAGTTTTTAGGCATATATTTTTATTGTACTAATTATTATCACATTTTTCTATATCTTATCATCTTTTTCGATATTGCACCTTGTGTTTTCTTATTGATACGCAATATCCGCACGGTATTTCTCGATATTTTTTTTCAGGATTATGATATTCTGTGTTACACATAAATGTTACAACTCACGTCAACGGAATGCTCGCGATGGCAGTGTACGCCGGCGACTGCACTCCATATAGTGAAGCAAAGCGCGATTGACAGTACAATGTTCCCTCACTGGAGGCCTCCTCGACCCTCCCGCCATTCCTTCGAATGATTTGTCTTCGACGTCGACAATCTTGGTGAAAAAGAAGTATTTTCGATAAAATTCCTAAATCCAAAAATTCAAAAATCCAGATACTCAAATCGTGCGAAGTCTGTCATTTAATTGCTTGACGAGTAAATGATAGCTGCTTAAATTCGCTCATTTGTTTTAAATAGATCCAATTTTGTACTTAAAATTAACGTTTGTAAGATACTCAGGAAAGTAATACTAAATATCTTGAACATCTTAAAGATATCCGATACTATAATCTAAACTGTATGTTTTTAATGTTTTTAAAACATTGTGTTGTCTGGATATACATTTATATCAAAAAAACAGAATCGTCATTTAAGAAATATATTTAAGAAACATGTTATGTGATATTATCACAGTATAACAATAAAATGTACTATATTATGTGTATGGTTTTGTAATAAAATATTTTACTATATGTATTTTCATACAGCACAGAATTTCTTAAAACATTCATAGAATGTTTTAAAAATGTACAAATATTCATAGAATATTCGTAGACGTTCTATAGATATTGTGTGCTATCTAGGTATTATATATGTATTTTATCGTAACAATAATGGAAATATTAAAGAGACGAAATCGTATAATTGTACTATTAATTATCGTATTCTACAGTATATTTGCAGAGTGTCCCCACCTTTTTTGCCAATCACTTTTGTGTAGATAGAGCGGACTAAACTGAGTCGAAAAGTCCTCTACCATTTTGCAATTTTCGCAATAGTTAATAAGATATTAATTACTAAATATTGCAAAATATTGGTCTTGAATAATTTTTTACTCAAATACTATCAACTTTACAGAAAAACTGCAAGAGACAAAAATCATTTATTTTCTTCTTATAAAGTTCTGAGAATTTTTTCAGAATTTTTTATCAACTTTTTAGTACTGCATTTTCTTATTTTTACCAACATGAGAAAATACGGTATTAAAAAATTCTGAAAAAATTCTCAGAACTTTATGAGAAGAAAATTAGGTAAGTATTAAGAAAAGGGGAGCCATCTCCAATGATCTAGACCCTGACATATGTTGACCCTGAGTGACCTCCACCAGATTTTAGGTGGCGGTCGCTGTCCGTTAAGGGGATCCTGGAGTGACGGTCGAAGTTAATCAAGGTCGATAGTACAGACTTTTTTAAATTCCAAATTCGACAATAGTGACATCTTTCATTCATTTCTTATACTTATTATATATCGTTGTGTCTCACTCAAACGCATTCATCTGTCCTTATCTAACATATTGCAACGCATCTCTTAGAAAGAGATCAACTAAAATACTGCTCGGTTTCATGGCTAAACAGTCATACATCGTCGATTTCTCACGCGCTAGACACACAATTTCGTTCCTTGCGCTAATCTTTTTATTTAGGCGTCAAAACTTAATTCTAAAGATACGACTGTAATCGTCTATTTATTCTACATGTGCTCCTGCCCTAATTTCGAGCATATAACGTGCATATAATTTTTTCACGAAGTAATGTTTGGTGAGCTGATAGCACATGGATACAGGAATCTGTAATTTATTATTTTTTCCAGTTTTGGACACAAAATACACCAGGAGCAGGTACATTAGCACGGATACTTCAATCGTGGAGAAGGAATTTTTATTCTGTGCAACTAATTCGAAGAACCGCGCAAGGAACATAAACGCTTGCTTTATCGGTAAAAAAGAAGACTCCAGCATCCCCTTAAAAAGTTATAAACAAAAAATGTTAGAGTTAGGTTAGAGTTAGGTTATTATATACCCTTGGGAATATACGTGGGAATTTAATAACCTAATCCTAACATTTTTTGTTCATAACTTTTTAACGGACAGCGACCACCGCCTAAAATCTGGTGGAGTCACTCGGGGTCACGACCTTGACAACATATGTCAAGGTCAAGATCATCGGAGGTGGCTCCCCTTTTCTTAACACTTACCGAAAATTGATAATTTTTGTCTCTTGTAGTTTTTCTGTAAAATTGATAGTATTTGAATAAAAAATTATTCAAGACCAATATTTTGCAATTTTTAGTAATTAATATCTTGTTAACTATTGCGAAAATTACAAAATGTAGTAGAGGACTTTTCGACTCAGTTTAGTCCGCTCTATCTACACAAAAGTGATTGGCAAAAAAGGTCGGGACACCCTGTATATAAGACATGTTCAACAATATTACCTATTTATTTAAACAATTAAGAAAAGTAAAATTCGAACAAGAGATTTATATGAATATAAAAGACAGACAAAATTATTTCGTTTGTATAAGAAATATATTTAAGAAGCCGTATGTTTTATATAATCGTTTGATTTGTATGAAAAATATATTTAAGAAATCGCATGCGAGTTTTATAATATTGCTATGTAATAATGTATAAAATATTGTATCATGTATATGTAGTTTTGTAATAAAATATTTACTGACAGTTACTGAAAATTCAGTGAATTTCATTGAAATTATTTTCATTAAAATAGTACGACAGGATATCGATACTAACTATAGATAAACGCAAAGGAATGCTGAAGTTTAACGTTAATTTTGATTCTGAAAAGGCAAGATCAAAATTTCAAAGCTATCTCTATATTATTTATGTACATAAAATATAAAATTTTTATACAATATTCAAAATGTGTATGTACAATATGCGCTTTGAAAATTTGACATTTGCACTTTTAGAACCGCGCCACAGATACTTGTAAATTATAATATATACAGGTACTTTATAAATTGAAATAATAAATTTGAAAAGAAAGAAACGATGTTATTGTTAATTTTTTCTTATTTTTAACTAAACAACCTTATTATAAAGCGTGAAACAAATAGTTATTTGAATATCATATATTCTTGTGGCCTGATTCTCTAAAAAGAAGAAGCACATGAAAAAAATAAGGATTTCAAACAACTTACTAATTGTAAGTGTTTTCTTTTGCGCTCATACGAATTCTATTCAGCTGGCATCATTCTAAGAAACAGTAACGCTATGAGACATCAGAATCCGCATATTAATAACCGCGTTAATTAAACGCACGCGAGTGGAAGGCTTTAAATATGTTGATGCGTCTAGTTTAAGTCTTCACCTTCGTCGCGAATGTTTTGCTGCGTAATTACAACGGCATTTGATAATGTTTCGTTTTCACGCCGTTTTTTCCCCTCGGATTTTACGCAACTGTTATGGAAAATACATTACAAACTTGGTGATTAACGACGAAAATAAAAGTGACCAATACGGTCAATTTTTACATTACGCTTCAAAAGATATTGCTATTATGCGTATTTCGACATTGTATATCATGTAAATATGTTACCATATTTTTTAAATACATTACGGAGTAATCGCAAGTACAATCATCAAAATCTATATACGTAATAAAGCTGTAATCTATTATTGAAGCTTGAGCAGTGCCATTCATTTCGTTCTTTGCGTTTCCTGCTTCTCTTTTTCACTCTCGAACTGTTACCATGACAGTATCACATATGTACATAGGAATTCATGGAATTGCACGCATCTTTTTGAGAGACATCGCTTGATTAGATCGGTGTACATTAATATAATATTTTTATCGCTCGTGAAGAATTTAGAGAAAAGTCCTGAAGAAAAGTTCTCGCAAATATTAGCATGAATAATTATAATCTGCGAATAAACCGAGATTGCTTCTTCAGCTACAGTGGTCCTACTTATGTTTCTTTCTTCTTGAGATTAAGTTTCTCTGGCGCTTGCACAATATTATATTTATGATTATCAGAAATCCAACTCCATGAACTCAACTTAACTTATACGTTGTTCAACAACATCTTTAGAGAACTGGTAATTTGTGTCTCACGAAAGTACAGTCAGTGATATCACACAAACCAGTATCGACAAGGACACCATAAAAGATGAGCCTGTAAACGAAAGTTGCGTTAAGCAAGAATTTTCCAAGCAGAAAAAAATCAAAACGTCATCTTTCAAGTAAAAAATTGTTAATTTCCTTGTTTTACATAAGGTTAAATCATTTTTGCTTACTAGCGCTTTTGCTTACGCATTTGTCTTCTACATTCAAGATGTAATTATCGGCACATGTGCATATATTTGAATCACACATCATAGATTTGATTGGCGGATCGTTCTTGTAATCTTCGGCCTGGTAGCATTCATAATTGTTCACACACTCGTTACCGATTGCTGCAAAACAATAACAATGATTAATTTTATAATTCTTTAACACGTAGTACTTTAACACGCTTCCTTCTCCCGATGGTAACACTCGCTGTGAAATACATTGAATACAAAGGGGTACAGAGGAGATATCTTGTAAAAACATCTTATTTTTAAAAAATAAACATTAATTAAGAATTTATTAATTATGACTAAAATATATTGTATCCCGACAAGCAGATATTATTTGTCGTCATTTTGACATCAAAATATTATTTTGACGACAAATAATGTGTTAGCTTGTTACTTGGAATATTTCTTAAAATTATTTTATCTGAAAAAAGTGTAACAATTAAAATATAATATTTTAATAATAATCCAATAAACACATCGACTAAAAATAACGTAACATCATTTATAATTTCACACTCGACAATGTAACTGTTATGTAACATATATGTTATATTACATTTATATTGTTATTATAAGTGTAGAGGAAAGTCGCCAATACTGACATAGATCTCGTAAAGTGATACCCCCTTATTTCTCAGAAACTAACTATTGCACTTTATTAATATTAATAAAATCATGATCTGTTTAGCTAATTAAAGAAATACAAACTCATAATTCATATATTTGTGGCTTATTTCTATACAAAATCAGCTAAAAACCAATTCTATGAATCCGAGAAAAAAATTCTTACGGTGTTCTTTTGCAAATTGCGTAATTAAAATAATAGTGACTGTATTATTGATAATATTATGTTATTTTAAATGT